TGGGTGAAGCAAACCTGTGGCGCAAAGCGCCGGCGAATCATCAACAAGCAGAGGGGTCCGGTTTCCCGGAACCCGTTGGACCAACAGTGGGGGCACCCTCAGAAGTGCCCACATCAGCAATCATAGCACCCACAGTAGTGCTCTCTAACAATCTCTCCGCACCATCAGAGGTGCTCAACACGTCCCTCAAAACAGGTTGAACCTCTGCAACTGGGGCAGAGCTCGATGCCCCTGCAACTCTCTCACGCACTCTCCGCTGGCGCAACTCTTCGTCTACCATCGAGGCCCTCCTAGCTTCCTTTTCCTGCCGATGCTATCTTTTGTGATATTTCTCTTCCTCTGTGCGATGAGAACGGTGCCGCTTGCCTTTGCCATGTGTCGGTGCAGGCCCTTCCTCAACGTTAGTCCGGAGGCTAGCTAAATCATCCTGTAACGTAGATAGATCTGTAGCTGGGGTTGATCGCTTGAGAACTCTCAACTCGAAGGCATCAAGCCTCTTATTAACAGCTTGGACCTTCCGATCCATCATCGCCTCCATCCTGCGCTCCATCCTCGCCTCGGACTCAGCTATCGACTTCTGCATCCATGGCTGGATGTGATGCAACAGTGTGGCCATCTGAGCCTCTAACTTCTGTACTCTGGCTAGGGGTAAGTAGTGGACCGGGAAGAACTAGGAACCATACTAGCTGTCTGAGAAGAAGATCCCGGGACAGTGTCGGCGTGGTCTGGGATAATGGGGTCACCGCCCTGTGCCTGCCCCACTGTGTCTGCAAGATCGATACCCAAGGGAGGTACCTCAATCTAGGTTCTCTGCGAGGTGCTGCCACATTTGCCTCATCTCGAATAAGGTTGATGTCCAATGCCCCTGTAGGGTGGACTAACTTGTCACAATGCCAGATCGGCACTCCAGAGTCCCTGCACAAATGAAAAATCAGACATGGGAAGGGGTAAGTAGTGGAGGTCCTGAAAGCCCTCTCGTGAATTTCTGCCAGCAGCATGCGGGCAAAGTTGATCTCCATGCTTGCTACCAATGCTGCAACCATGACCGCTCTATCCCAACTGACTTGATTATCAACTTTTGTCGATGACACTCTGTTCCGTACCAGCAGCCAGAAGAACTTAGCCACAAAATTTAATGTGGCCCTTCGGATGCCCAACCGTGGAGCAGCGACCCATTCCGCACGCTCTCCATCTGCAGCAATGTATCTGGCCAACCATAATAGAACAGCCTCTCGCTGCTCAGTGTTCCTCTGGAAAGCACCACTCCGTACGATGTCCCATCAGTAATCGAACTCTAAAGTGTTAAGAGACCAAGAGTGACCCGTGGTAGGACCATAGAGAAAACGGCTAATGGTGGCAGGTGATATGTCCACCGGATAACCCCGGACCATAGTGGAAGTGAGAGGGTCTTGGGCTAAGGGCTTTGACCTTTTGGTAATCGAACCGTAGAGAGTGGCGGCATATGAGGCATAGAACTATCGCACCATCTCCTCACGACAGTGTGCAAGCTCCTTGTGAGGACTCTGCGCTCCTCTGTAATAGTTCGGGCCATTTTCTGTTTGTCATTGATCATCTTGGCATCCCTATATATTTTCCATTGGCCCTCTACGCACCATCTATTAGGCTCAGCAGCTACTGGAGTGGGGTTATCGTTCTGTGGTACCGGTATGGGCTCTGAGCTAGCTGCCTCATCAGACGAGGTTGCTTGGTAATTCTCGCCAGATTCTGTGGCTGATTTAGCACTGGACCCTGCAGCATGGTCAGGCTCAGATCCTGAAGGATGGGCAGACTCGGAGACTTAAGCA